TTGGAAAAATGTAGCACACTTGGAAAATGTGGCGCACTTGAAAAATGTGGCACACTTACGAAAATGGTTCTTATATAAACTCTGGGTGTTCGGCCATCGTGGCGTGATTTAAAATATAAAACAAACAGCGGTAATGAACATTTAAAAAACATGCATTTTATGAACTTGACGTTTCGTGTGCTAGTCAACATACATTTTCAAAAGCCGATAACCGTTAAAAGTTTTTGGAAAGCTATTTATACTGTATCAATGGGGGTCTGGAACCTAGGTTCCAGGTTCTAGAAGTCTAGGCTGTGGAACCTAGACTCTAGGTTCCAGAGCCCCATTGATACAAAATAAATAGCTTTCCAAAAAAATTTAACGGTTATACTCAAGTTATCAGGAGTCGACTGTAGCGTGTTTCTTTAGACAGTAAATGGGAACTACATAAGAATCATATCTTCATATCTTTCTCCGCAATTCAAATGTATGGTCTTTCATATATTCACTTGCAGGGAATCCTTGTTTACAATATTTGCCTCATTAGCATAAGCAATTCATTTTCTGAAGGAGCTACAAATAAATCACTTCTGAATATTTAAAGATCATATAAAGATTAACTCCGCCAATGAATATGAGCCTGATGTATTGAATACTTTTTGTCCAACATGGGTTTAAAAACTCAAAATTTTATAAAGAATGTATAAGCTCATTAGAACTTTTGCACGAAGAAATTTTGCAGCTTTTGAAAGACAATTTTTCCCTGAATATTACGCCCAAAGAACTAAAAATTTCATCATGTATTAAGTTTCACTAGCTCTTTAGCTGCCTGGAGTCAATTCATTTCTAACATGTTTCCGTCTGTGCGCAAGGCCGTATGCAAATGATCAAAAATGTAAGCAGACTTCAACATGAATCCCCCTATTTAGGCACGCGAGGAAAAAGCGAGCAAAACGAGCGCGAAGCATGCGGGGTGGCGGTGGAGTTTGCTCGGTCCCTACCCCCTACCCAGTCAAGTCTTCCGTTTTTCGCTAGCGTCCAGTTCTCTCGCGATTCTATCAGATCGAAGTAAAATACGAGAAAACAGAGGGCGGCGAACAGTCTAGCCCCACTCCCAAGTAAGGGAATAGGCCATGAGACAAGGTTGGAGGCTTTTTTTTTTTCTAAACCGGTAAACGCTTTCATCTGTAGCTATGACTAATTATGACGCCTTTTTCCTTGAGATTTGGAAGAGGCCCCAGATCTCGATAAGAGTCTTAGCCACGAAATTAGCTTGTGTTGCTGGCGGGATTTCTGAGCTAGTGATTTTCCGTAGCGAAGGCGTCATTTTATTCTCGCCCGCGAGCGAATTCGCCAGCGGTGAAGCCGCGAGTGAAATTCCCGCTCCATCCTTATGTCCAATTTTTACTGCATTCATTTCTTGTAAGTTTATAGAATCCTGTTACCCTGTTATTACTGTGAGTGAACATCACTGTCAGTTTAATATCAGAGATATTTTACATTAAGCTTTTTTTTAAGTATTTCTCTTATGGCTCCTGATTACATAGTATAGTTCTCGGCTCCAAAATGACGACTTTATTAAACCATGAGCACTACATCGTTCCCTCCCATCTGAAGAAACGGAGCCGTAATAAAGTACTTTGGAGTAAATACGATAAAAAATTATTTATTTAATATTGCACATTATATTTTTCCCATAACAATTCTACAGTACACAGTGAATAGATCATGCAGATCTTTCAGACCTGGGCCTGACCCTTCAAAGGTTTTAAAACGCTGATCACTGGATAAACACCAGCTTGAAGAGAGACTGAAGTGCGGACTAAACAAAACAAAACAAAACGAAAAACAAAAGGAAAAAAAAAAAACGCACGACAAAACATACAAAATAACAAAACAAGACATAAAAATAAAAGTAGAAAAGAAAACAACAACAACAACAAAAAAATACATGAGGAAACGTAACAAAAAATAACAAAACAAAACATTGAAAACATAACAAAATAATAATAGTTGTCCTATTTACTAGCTGTACTAGACAGTCCTTCATCCAGCAGTTATAGTGTTAATCAACTTTTTAACCCGGCCCTGTTGGTTGTATTTATATTGTGTATTATTAATCTTGTTAACAGCCATATGCCTTTCTCCTGTCCGTGAGTAGTGGTTTCTATTTTAGCCAAGCTACATTATTCACATTTTACGACTTCTTAAATACTGGACATTGTGATAAATATTTTGAAATTCAATTAACGATAAATACTTTGAGTGGTCAACCTTGATAACAGCAATATAATAGTAATGACAATAATGTTTTTCAAACCCCAATCTCACTCACTTTCTTACCGATGTATATGGCATCTCTACTTGTACATACTTCACAAGGTAAAAACCTGTTTGTTTCGTACCCTTTGATACGCTATACATGTACGTCTGTACATGAAACCTATCGATCAGTAATATTACGTGTTAGAGTATGTCATTTACATTTTGCCAAACTAGGTTTGGGATTTTGATAAGGGTTCAGTAATAAACGTCTCATCCTTGCTTAGTCTTCTCAGTTAGCTCCATTTCCACCTCTTCGTAAAGACGCTCAATTTCCTCTTTAAACGTGCGAAGTATCTCTGGCCGTTTGGCTTTGAAGGTGGGCGTGAGCAGACCGTTTTCAATACTAAATATGTCGGGATGGAGATAGATTTTCTTGACCTATAAAAGAAAAATCAAAGCAAAACCTTGTTATCGACATGCTGAGTTATCGAAATCTATCGTACCGCGAAAGTGACAGCCTTCGTGTGACAGAATGATCATTAAGAATTTTACAGAACATCCTAAAAGATATTAGAATCTAGTTTTAATTTGAGGGCGGGGATTACGTAATAACTCTATCTGACCCAGGCTTAACACTCTAAAGTCTGAATAAGTATAATGGAAGTCGGGACGCTTACAACACTGGCATAAGCACGTACGCATGCGCAGAGTAGATAATTGTCTTATTTTCGGTTCCATACCTCTTCGATCGGCACGCGTTCAAACAAGATGGTGGACTCATGCTTATGCTTGTGCTAGTGTTGTAGGTGTCCTCACTTACGTTATGCTTATGTTGGTGCTGTGATTATGTCGTAGCAAAAACCAGGCTTTAGCACCGAACTCAGGGTAAAATGGACTATTGTACTTATTGTTAAGCTAAGAAATAACCGGATAGACTTCAGTGATTCAAACCTGTTCTAAAGAATTCAGTCCTCCTTCGTTACCCTTTGCCAACATGTCTTGAAAAATAACTTTGTGCACAATCTGAAAAAGGGGTCAAAGTAGTTTGCTCAGTTGATATATTTAATAGTCTTGCAGCGCCGTAAATATTCTGGCACTAGAATATAGTAATTTATTTGTTTATTATTTACTGATCAGGATACAAATTCATCGATCATAAGAAGGCGATCATTGTCAACAAAACTGAATTATCAAAACCTGCTGAAACTGTAACTCAAAATTTCCGTTCTTTAGCAAGAAGTGGAGAATCTCATTGAACGAGAATGCTAAATTTCCTGTGTTCTCCGTACCTTGAAAATGTTCCCCTGAGCTATCAGCAGGGCTTGACGAAGAGTTAACACTCACTTTTAACTTTCATAGTATTGAACAACTAATGCAGCATACTTGAGCACTTAATGTCTGTGGCAGATGACAGAGTCAGCATATTCTTCTCTGCCATGTTATTCTACTTCATTTAAGGGCCTAGGACATGGTATCTCATGTAATTCTGTTTATTTTCGGTGTTGACAAGCTATAAACTTCAAATTAACAAAGCAACAGTCTGTTTATTGGCAAAATCACAGCCACCTAACAAACGAGGATGATTTTTCGACCTTTATAAATTACACTTTCACAAAAATTGAACTCAACTTGAAAAAGGTCGGGTGGATGTTTTTGAAGTTCTATCCCAATGCAATCCGTTTCTGAAAATGAACAGTTACAGTGGTTAAATATTACCTCATCTTGACAGAGCTGTTTAATGTCCCCTTCAAGTCCATTGCTCTTAGCCCAGGTCTGAAGCACTTCAGCGTCCGGGACAGCAATCGCTACGAGGAAGGACTGGAAACAACACAAACAACGTCATTACAAGCTGTTTGTATGTACACTAGGGAGTGGCGTAAGGAATGAATTTGGAAATTTTACGAATTCAAATTATCTTTTCGTTCAGTTCCTACGCACCTGGCCCCGATTGTTCAAAGAGTGGATAAAGCCATCCACCGGATAAATCACTATCCAGTGGATAGCGTGATTCGTTTTGACAACGATCATCTACTGGCTGGTGATTTATTCGATGGATAGCGTTATCCACCCTTCGAACAACTGGGCCCTGGATGGAATTTTGCGTCTTCAAATTTTAATGTGCACAAATAAGAAACTTATCGATTGAAATGTAGCCTGTGTACAGGTTCTTTAGTCGAGGACGGGGCAAAGAGAGAGCGGGACGAAAGAGGAGAGAAGAGAAAAGAGAGAAGAGACAGAAGGAGAGAGGAATGGGGAGACGCCCCAACCCCCACCCCATTCCCTCTCCGCCACGTCTCTCTTAGCCAGTTCCTTCTCGGCCCTTTCAGCCGCGGTCAGACCCTTCCTGCTAGAACCTGTTAACAAGCTAATTGAAATGTCGCGAAATATTTTTTTCCTCAAGGCCCGCGGGCCTCGAATTCTTAACCCCAGTCTTCCTCTGAAACTCACCTTGTAACTGTTTCCATAGACAAACACCTGCGCTATGAAAGGACTGCGCAGGTACACGTTCTGAATTTTCTCAGGAGCGATAAACTCACCCTGTGATATAACAGAATGGTTCACTTTAATGTCGATCACAATTTTCAAGGAAAACAAGAAAGCAAATAAACAAGACAGACCAATGTATACCGTAAATCCTCGAATTAGCGCCCGGGGCGCTTATTGGAG